AGTGAATTTGGGGGCAGGATTCAGGAAGAGAGGAGCTAACGTGGAAGGAGGTCAGTCAGGGATCAGAGGAAGGTCAAAATGGAGAACCGAAAACTGATAGCTGGCCAAGGACAATACAAAGGAGTGACTGAAGACCCACGGCCATATTGTTTTCAGTTTTTTCTATTCTTGACTTTTGGAATTTAATTTATTAGGGAACATAGTGTCTACTTTCTACTGGATGAGTCCTTTCTCAAGCAAGTGACAACGTGCAATCGTTTGCATATCAGCCTCTAATGCCATGACCAGCATTTAGACTGCAGGACCCTGACATAGTCCTTTTGTGCTTTTGTGATTTTTGTATCCGTCAATCATCTTTAAAAAATGCTTAAAATGATAGTTGTTCTTCTTCAAGTTGTCTTCTCCTATGTACTTATAAATGATACTGAAATATAGTAAGGCCTAAATCTGATATAAGAATGTTCTTGGCGGGGCGCAATGGCTCACGTCTGTAATCCCAGCAGTTTGGGAGGTGGGGGTGGGTGGATTACCTGAGGTCAGGAGTTCGAGACCAGCCTGGCCAATATGGTGAAACCCTGTCTCTACTAAAAATACAAAAATTAGCCAGGCGTGGTGGCACACGCCTGTAATCCCAGCTACTCGGGAGGCTGACGCAGAAGAATTGCTTGAGCTCGGGAGGCAGAGGTTGCAATGAGCCGGGATCGTGCCACTGCACTCCAGCCTGGCTGACAGAGCAAGACTGTGTCTCAAAAAATAAAATAAAATAAAATAAAATAAAATAAAAATAAAAAATAAAAAAAGAATGTTCTTATATATATTGTGGTTATTTGCAATAATAATTATAAAGCATAGCTTAAGTCCTTGGATGAAATTGTAACAGCCCCATTGAGTTCTGGGGCTATTGAGCGCTATGTTAATTTCAGAAATGATTTTGGTTACTAACACTTCTGTTGTCGGTTTTGATATGGAATTTCCCCTTTGAGCGCTTCATGTGTCCTCGTGCTGGCGCTAGGTCCAAACCAAACAAGACCTGTGATTATTTAAAGAAGGTACTTTGACTCCACAGTTCATTCATCCTTTACAGATACAAAAATAACACATTGTTTTATCTGTGGGTATAAGAATCCTTTTTCAAAGGAAATAAAAAGAGCAGACAGTTTCCTTCCTGGCTAATTCACCAACCTCTTTAAATCTGTTAAACATAGCCACAGACACAACTTGTTCGCTTGGTATCATTTCCTAAACTCAATTTGACAAGATAGGTCATTGTGAGGGTCCATATGCATCTAACAGGAAACAAAGTCTAAATCTAGGGAATGTTTCTTAGCTACCAGGGTGGTAAGAACAATGACTCTAGAAGAAGAGTCCCATTTCAATTATAAAATTACTGAGCAGGTACCGTATTCAGCTGTTGTGAACGGCATCCCAGGATCAAATTTTAATCCAGTGAACCCAAACTACTTCCATTCAAGACACTGCATCGGACTCATACATGCAAGCCTTTCTAAGGTCCACATACTATTAACATTCAAAATTTCTTCCTGTGCAAAATTATATTCTTATATAGACTTGAAACCTGCCTCTTGGAGATTTCACTACCATCTCCCTTCGCTTGGTTCTAGTTATCTTTTCTGGTGTGTCAAAGAATGGGTTACATGCCTCTTCTGTCCGAAAGCTCCTTAAGTATTTGAAGACAACAATCTTGTTACCCTCATGTTGTCTCTTTTTTGGACTAAGTATCCTCTTTTCTGGCACTATCCTATTCCTATCCAGGATATAGCTCTACTTATTTGTTTCTTTTATAAATGGGCACAATATTTCAGGTGTGGCTGGGTGATTGCCAATCACATAGTCCATGTTTTCAGCTAACTACAATTTTTAAGCAAAAAAGGTTGGACATAGCCGTCACTCTTACAAAAGAGAGCAAAGGAGAAGGCCAACAAACTACAACAAGCAGACACAGAGTTCAAAATCATGGCAGTTGGGGGCAATAATGAACAACAGAATGGAATATATGTTTACATATTCCATTATATATGCCATATATTATATATATGTGGCAACCAATATGGGCAGTTCAAGTGAAAATTACCTCCACTTTTCACAAGAGTAAATGATATGGCTAACAGAAAGGTTTAGAAATTATCAGTAGGGCCAGGAGCGGTGGCTCAAGCCTGTAATCCCAGCACTTTGGGAGGCCAAGATGGGCAGATCACGAGGTCAGGAGATCGAGACCATCCTGGCTAACACGGTGAAACCCCGTCTCTACTAAAAAAAAAAAAT